TCGTATCGCGCCGCCGGCCTGGTTGCAGTTGTTTGCGCCCATCGGTGTGACAAGGCCTGATTCCACGTTCACCGTCTCCGCTGAGAAGGTGGACGAAGAACTGCCCCGGGCAGGTGGGTCACAGCTCTGGCCTCCGTCGAGATCACAGAGGCTGCTGGCGGTGGGATATGTTTGGTCCACGACTCCCACGGGCTCCTGGGAATTTCAGGAGCTGCACACAGTCCACGGGGAAGGTGACACGGGTTCCTTCACCTCAGTAAACGTCCACTCCCCGTCTTCTCTGACGGCTGTGCAGCCGCAGGGGGGCCAGGCCCCCAGGTCTCGGGGCTGGACCAGTGTGGCCCCTTCTCCCACCGAGTCACTGTGGGCTCAGCTGTGGGGAGCCGGCGATCACGCAGAGTGCAGACCGTGGCGGTGGACTTGGACCACGAGAGCTGAGTGAGGAGGGACCCAGGGCCACCGAGAAGCCCAAGCACAGAGGGAGACAGACCTGCGTGGGTTCCGGCCGCACGCTGAGGAACCAGGGAGAGTCTCGAGCTCCCTGTCCCGACAGAGCCTCGTTGCAAATACGGTTGCAGATATTTCCGCGATGCTCTGTCCCACGGAGGACGCGACGAGCTGTTTGACAGAACTGGGGGCTGTCACCGAGAAAACCTCGTTTCTGTCCTAACGGAGGACACGATGTTGGTCGTTTCTCTGGGTGGCCTTCATGTTTGCCTGAGGGGTAAGGACGGGGACCCCGCCAGGACGCTCCCGCCCCGTCGGGAGGAAGGGAAAGAAGGGGCCCTGTGGGGGGTCCCCTGTGAGAAATAACTGACTACGTGCTAAGAAAGAAAGGGGGCTCCTGAGGCTCAGGGAGCTTCCGGTTCAGGGAAACCTTTGCCCAGAGTTGCAGGAGGCAGTGCCTGCCTAAGGCTCGTGACGGCCCCGGAAGGGCAGGGCAGTCCGCCAGGTCTGGACGGAAAGGGGGGCGAGACCCGGGCGGGGCGCCCCGTGTGCGGCGGCTGGTCCAACATTTTGCACGATCCACGTGTTTCTCCGGCGAGCGGGGGAGGGGGGCGGATTCTCCTCCCAGCAGGCCTCAGGCGCCGCCCACTCCTGACGCTCGGGTCCAGGGATTGGCTCAGGGAAGATGCGTACCCCCTTGGCCTAAACAATCGAATCCGCAGGAAGACGGCCTGTGCCGGGCACGTGTGGCCCTGGGTGGCGGTCACGGGCCGCAGGCCTGTCCACGGTGGCCAGACAGAGGCCCCATTTCCCACACAGACCCTGTCACGGCCCCGTGACGGCTGTGCTGACCACCAGACGCCAACTCCGAACACTTAGATCCCAGACGCCGAGGTGTGGAAGGACCCCCCAAAGCTCATCCGATTTGTGTTTCTGTCTTGAGCCGACCGCGCACTGCTCTGGGATAGATTCTGTCCAGGGGACCTGTTGCCTCCGGGGCCGGTGGTAATGGCTCCGTGTGTCCTGCTGGCCGGCAGGCAAAGGACCTGAACCTTGATGAGTCCAGTCAGGAACCAGGGTGTGGCTGGAGGCCCGTGACCCCGGGTCCTGTCTGTCTCCCTTTCAAGGTCCCGTCTGTGCCCGGAAGGCCGGGCTGCCCTGCAGTGGACCAGGCTGTGAAGGTGGGGTACGGGGCACGGGGCACGGGGCACGGGGCTCTGTCGTGCTCAGGGCTGGGGCGCCGGGCGCCGGCTGCTGTGACTGGGCCACTCCTGGTTGACGTTCTCTTGTACAGGACATTCGTTCTCTGATGAGACATTCGTGGGGGGCTTGGGGGGCCTCAGGAAGCTTAGGAAGAATCAGGATGTTCCATTACTAACGTAGTTGGCTGTACTTTGGCTACTTATTTTAAGGAATAGTTTACAGGACATACCTGGGTCAGCAGGAGCGTGGGACCAACTGACCCAGGTACTGGGGCAAGGTCAGCGGTGCAGGTCACACAGAGGCCTTTCTCCGAAGAGCCGGTCACCTGAGGTCTGGGCAGGCGCCTTCCAGTCTGACTCTGCTTCTGAGTCCCGCAAGTCGCGACCTCGGATGTTGCTTTGCACACACACATACACGCGCTCACAGGCATGGACACACAGGCGCATGCACACACGTGCACCCGATTTTTTTTGTGACGTGGAGAGAAGATGGATTGAGATCCACGCAGACAAGTGGAGCGAGCGTGAAGATGAGCCTGCGGCGAGGAAGTGTTTTCTTTCACTGAGATGAACGGGGTCAGAGGGCATTTCCTTCCCTCGGGCGAACACCTGTCCGCCCTACGCTTGTCATTCACACTCTGCGTTCTCTCCCTGAGCTGCCCCGTCACCGGACGACACCTGTAAGCTGGGATCTTCTCAGGTCTCATCTGCGGGCTCAAAGAGGCTTTGCGTTCTCGTCATCGTCTGACATTCTCCTGCAGGTCCCCTGGCACTGGCTCTGAGAGGGCTGAGCCCCTCCGGCTCAGACCCGGCACCATGGTTGCAAGGATGCCAAAGTGGGCGGGCGCGTGGCTGGACCACAGCTCGGGGACCTTCTGGCCAGCCTCGTAGGGACACGTTTCATAAACTGGATGCCGCTCAAGACTCAGGCTCTGTCCTTCATGAACAACAAGAAAGGCAGAGGAGACGGACCCCTGGCACCATCCGCACACAGGCACCTGGCACCGTGTTGGTCCCACACGGGCCCACAGTGAGTCTGGGGCTCCAGCCGCCTGGCGCTGCCCTGTGACATCTTCCGTCCTCTGGTGTGAGCGGCTCAGAAAACAGACAGAGGCGAGGAGCCGGGCACGGACCCCCCGCTTCTCCTGCGGATGAAAAGCAGCCACATGGAGAGGCCGAGGCCGGTGCCCCCAGGGCTCCGGAAGCTCCCACAGTTACGCCTCCTGACCCCTCCGCCTTTGGAACTCAAAATAAACCATAAATTTGTCTCCTCAGTGCGAGGGGCCACTTTCCCACTGTCCATCATCTGGCTCCCAGACTGGACGGCCCACACCCAGCAGTGCTACCGAGGACATCTGGAGCCGGACAGGGAATTGGAGGTCAGAGGGCCTGCGCGTCCCTGTCCCGTGCGTCCTGCCCTCTGGCTCTGTCCTTCATCACCCGAAGCCCAGCCTGATGGACGCCGTGTCCGAGTCAGGCCTGAAACCCTGGGAAGCGGCTCCCAGTCCCTGGGGATCCTGCGTGGAAAAACAATGCTCCGTTTTCTCTTTCACTTTTAAATAGCAGCCTCAGGCAGGTCTAGGCCGCGGGCTCTGGGCCCAGGGGGCTCCGCGTCCTCCGCTGCGGGCGCCCTGTGTCCTCTGCTTTCGGAGGCGGTGGCTCCCCGGGCCCCCGACGGCGGCTCCTCTGCAGGGCGGCCCAGCCGACCTGTGCTCTGTTCCGTTGCTGTTTATCCACTCGGTGAACACGTGCTGGCCAACACCCACGGGCGAGGCGCTGGGACAGGAGAGCAGGGCGCGCGTGACCGAGCAGCGATGGACGGTCACGTCTGTGGACAGTCAGTGTGCCCGGTGCCTTCTCCACACTACCCCCTCCCCCACTCAGCCTCGGTGCGCGCACACAGACACACACACACACACACACACACACGCACACACACGAGGCAGGGACTGTGCTGTCACCATCCTGCACAGAAGATGCAGGCTTAGCACTGAAGTGACTCACCCAAGTCACTCAGCTGGTCAGTAAGAGCTGGGACATAAACCCAGGCCTGTGGAGTCCTCCCTCCTTCCCCCTTGGCGTCAGCCGCACAGAGGGTCTGGGGGGACACAGACGCAGAGAGAACCAGACGGGGAAAGACAGCCTGGCGGTGACCTGTTCCCCGTCACAGTTTTAAAGTCGTATTTACAAGCTGAAGGAAACCACGGTTTGATTCGACATGACAGCTTCTCTGTGAATCACGCAGAGTCTGATCCTTCCCTAATCTCCACGACTGCTGGTCTCACGCATTTTATTTCCTTAAACTGCTCGCGCTGTCGCCCTGCGCCGGAGGGAAGTGTTCAGGGCGTGCAGCCCCCTCTGGCCAGGGCCTGAGTCCCCCGCGGCTCTCAGGACTTTGGTTCGTCAGGGCCGTGGCCGGGAGGTAAATGTTAGCGGGCTCCAGGCAGCAGCACTGAGGTGTTTTCAGTTCACTCGGGCAAATATTTTCGCCTGTTGACCGTGTTGCCAAGCACCGTGCTATGCAGAGGAGTGAAGACGTATTTAGGGCTCGGTTTCCCCCCTCAGAGCGTTCTCCGGCTTAGAAAGCAGACACATAAATCCATGACTGTCACGCAGGACGCCGCACCCCATTTTAAAGGCGTGTGGGGTGCCGGGGGGGCCACCACGTCCACAGCTTGTCTCACGGATCGATGGTGAAGAGTGGCCGAGTGCTTTGCAGTCCAGACTCGCGATGAAATATTGGACAGCTTTGCAGGTTGGCTTTGAAACTGGGCGTGAAAACAGGCAGCTTGTGATGGAGCCGCACCCAGAGCTCCGAACCCCCCCCCCCCCATGAGCCGAGGCTCGTGCGCGGGCACCCCACGAGCAGACAGTAGCCCAGAAGCCAGGTGGCTGGGAGGAAAATCATCCCCGGAAACGGGTCCCACGGCACAGACGGGCACACCGTCCAGCAGGGTAACTTCAGTTTGCAGCTGAAGAACACGCCTGGTCCAACCCATTTTACAGGTGAAGGAACTGAGGCCCGGCGGTAAAACTGGCTTATTTTCCTCAGATGTTATACCTCTGGTTAGTAGCAGAGCCGGGCGGAGCCCTGCAGCCCAGAGGTCATACAAATGCAGGGGGTTCCGTGTGCGAACTCCGCAGTGGGGTCTCGTGTGAGTGATTGAATCTCCATCTCTCAGTTTCTTCGTCGGTACTTGTCCCTACAAGGACAAGTTCAGGATGAGATCATGCCTAGGGACCAGGGACGTGGGAAGAGCTGGGACGCGATGTCCCGGGTCCGTGTGAGCGTCCTGCGGCCGACGGTCCAGGGGCCTCGGCCTCGTGCGCTGACCTCTTCTCCTCTTGCAGGGCCAAGGAGATCAAGATCAAGTTGGGAACTCTCCTCCAGAAGCCAGACTCGGCGGTCGACCTGGTCATTCCCTATAACGAGAAGCCGGAGAAGCCAGCCAAGACCCAGAAGTGAGTCGTGCGTGGGGGCCGCACCCCTGTGCCCCAGAGCAGGGTCGGCTCGGGGTCCCCCAGCCCCTCCTGCAGACCCCCGGTCACTCACGGAGCGCGGGAGCCTCACCGCGGCCTGCAAACAAGCATTTCCTTTGCGCTCCCGGGTCTGCCCAGTGGCTCCGGGTGTTGGCAGCGTCCCCGGTTGGTTGGAGTGTCATCCCAGATGCCAGAAAGGTTGTGGGTTCGATCTGCAGTCAGGCGTAAACGGGGGCGACCAATCAATTTCTCTCTCTCCCTTCTTTTCTCTCTAAAATAAATAAAAACGTATCCTCCAGTGAGGATTTTAAAAATGAAATAAAGTAAAATGAAGAGCGTCCCCGTCCCAGGACCTCGTGGGAGAGGCAGGCCAAACCTGACGCCGTGGCAACCGCGACCCCGTCCCCTGCGCCAGTGCCCGGGTCAGGTGACCGTTTCCGACCCAGTGAATCTGCTCGCTGGTGCCCACCTGCCCAGGGGTCCCCAAGGCTGCTTCCCCAGCAGGGAGACGCCAGGGACCCCGCCCCCAGGAAGATGCTCAGATCAGGGCAGACAGTGTAAGCCTCTCAGCCCCCTTCCCGTGCTGTGGCTCCAGGTCCCAGGGGGGAGCCAGAGAGCCCCTGCTGCAGGCACGAGTCCTTGGCCACAGTGAGCAGCTTTCCTGGCCCCTCCACGGACATTCCCGGTGGGCTGCTGCGGGGACCCCCCCACGCCGGCCGTTCCGAGGACTCAGGTGTCCTGGGAACAGGGCTGCCCTCGGCGTCGGCTCTGCAGTGGCTCAGCAACACGGCCCCCGGCATTCACACGCTGCCCTCCGCGCCCCAGTGCGCAGCCTGTCCCTGCCGGGGGATGCCGCCCACCTTCCCTCGGAGCACCCCCAAGAGAGGGTGGAGGAGATGAGCCACGTGTGTCCAGGTCCCCCCTGCACGAGCCAGAAGTGTGGTCAAAGCACAGGGGACCCTCCTCACCACCATTTCTTTTAAAATTTAACGTTTGTGTCAATCGGCACAGCTTTTCTCTGTCCAAACGACCTTGGACCTGATGCAGCTGCTGGGAGGTAGGCGGGTCGTTCCTGGTTCGTCTTTTTCCCACCAACCCAGTGACATTTCTCCTGCCGCACGTAGGTCCCCGTGACCCCAGCCACCAGGGAGGGCGCTCGAACTTTGTGCTTGTAGAAAGGGGGTGCTCCATCCGTGGGGTGCGGGCCCCAGCTCTGGTGGACAGGGATGCGCGTCTGAGCAGCAGCTGGTCGGGAAGTCTGCTTTGAAGGGAACGAGGTGGTGCTTACTGAGTCCTCAGAGTTCATTTTAAAAATAAACTTTGGGCCCTGGCGGGTTTGGCTCCGTAGTTAGAGTGTCAGCCCTCAAACCAGAGTCACGAGTTCAATGCCGGCCAAGGGCACAGACCTCAGTTGTGGTTGGTCCCCGGCCCTGGTCAGGGTCGTGCGGGAGGCAGCCAGTCGATGTGTCCCTCTCACATCGATGTCCCTCTCTCTCTTCCTCTCTCGTCCTCCGGCTGTATCTGAAGATAAATGGAAAGATATCCTCGGGTGAGGATTAAAAAAATAAATAAAGAGCCCTGGCTGCTTTGGCTCAGCGGTTAGAGCGTCGGCCTGCGGTCCAGAGAGACCCGGGTTGGTTCCCGCTAAGGGCACGTACCTCGGTTGCACTTTGTCCCCGGCCCTGGTTGGTCGTGCGGGTGGCAGCCACTCGATGTGTCCCTTTCACATCGATGTTTGTCTCTCTCTCTCTCTCTCCCTCCCACTCTATCTGAAAAATGAAAGAAAAAAAATGTCCTCGAGTGAGGATAAAAAAAAAAATTTTTTTAAATAAATAAATAAAATAAAATGAATGAACACGGGACCAGTGTCCCCCTTCGATCCTCCGCCCTGATGTCCGCAGGCTCCAGCCGCCCAGGTGGACGGGTCTCGTAGACGCGGTTGGGGAAGGAGACCCCGGCTCTCGGGGTGGTTGTCTCGTCACCGTCTCCTTGCAGATGTGGGATTGCTCGGGGGACGGCCCTGTTCCCACGGTGCTCCCAGCCGTCGGCTCCCGACCGCCCCCCACCCCAGTGTCTCTGTGTTTTTCCTCGTGTTCTTCTCCCAGAGGAGAAAACAAACCTCGGAGCATAAAACAAACCTTCTCTAATGGAAGGTATTTTTAACCCCCTTCATTTAAAAAAACAATAAAGTAATCCCTTTGGAAACAAGCCTTTTTCTATTTTTGAATTTATTTTCATTCTTCTCATTAGAAAAAAATATATATTGTACCACAGAAACTAACAGAAAAAAGTTGCCTTCACTGCTCCTGCTGGTTCGGATTGGCTGGTCGCTCTGGTGCCCGGGCCTCCCCGGGACAGACGGGGGTCCGTCCGCTCTGGAAGACCCCCCCCCGCCTCCGCCCTTCGCGCCTGGAACTCTGGACGTGGGAGGCCACTGCTCCAGCCTCTTCTTTGTCCTGACCAGGTCCAAACGCACCCACGGCTGCGTCCACTCTGACCCTCCGAGGCCTCGCCCCTGCCTGCCCGGCCCCCGCGTGTCGCTCTGCCCACCGTCCGCCCCTTTGGCACCGGCTGTCCCCAGGTCCCCTGCGTCTCCTCCTCAAAGGACCCCTTTGCCCACGTCTCCTGGGAGCAGCCCTCAGACCCAGCCGCAGGTCCTCACAGTGACCCCGGCTCGGTAAACCGCACCGGGTCGTTGGCGACCGCGGCTGCCCCGTGTCCCGGAGCCGACGTGCACGTTCTCACAGTTCGGGTGTTACTCCCCTGCTCTCGTTCTCCCCGCCTGGGTCACAGCCTGTTCCTTCCATGTCCAGTGGTTGTTTACCGCCAGGCAACACTACAGCACCCTCACACCCACAGGTGTGTCCGTGCGCAGTGACCACGCGGGCACGGCGGGGGTGAGTGTGCAGTGTCCGGCCCCGGGGTGATGGCGGAGAGGCAGGTGTTTTCACCTGTGCCCCATGCCCGCTGCCAGGGGCCACTGTCGGCCCCGGGGTGGGCTCAGTCACTGCTCTCGGCCTGGAGACGAGCCCGCCAGACGGCCCGTGGGGGGCGCCTCGAGGACAGCGCCCCCCAGACAGTGTCGAGGGGCAACGTGAATTTCACTTTCCTCGTCGAGAGCAGGAGGCATGGGGAGCCCACCAGACGGGCTCAGAGGCGCAGGGACCGTGCAGGATAAAGGGAGAGGGGCCCCTGGAGCCCGGAGAGCGGGGAACCTTCCTGGGGTCACGGCTGCCAAGGTCAGAGCTGCGGGAACGGTTCGCCGCTGACATGCTTCCTGTCCGGGTTCCGGGGTGTTCGTGGTTTTCCTCGCCCGCGCTCGCCGCCAGCCCGCTGGACCGGGTGACGCTCCTCAGCCACGCCCCGGCCGGCAGGGCGCCCAGCGGTCGTTCTCGTTCAGGGCTGCGTCCGTCTCGCTTGCGGAGAAGTCAGACTGAACGAGGGCCGGCGAATTCTGAGAGTCGGGACAGCGTGAACCTCGTTCCCCCCGGCAGCCGAACCGGGCTGGCTTCGCGCTGGGCTGTGACCTGCTCGGCTGTGTCCCCCCCTTCGGACTGACTGAGACGCGAGCGGGCTGTGCACGGGCCCTTTTCAAGAACCGAATCTTGGCTGTGACCTGCTGCGAGCAGTGACCATTATCCGGAGCTCATGGGCCCTCAGGACACGGGCCTGGGCACGGGTTTGAGTCCGGTTTACCTGCTGGTGTCCTTCCCTGTCCCTGCCCATCTGGACCGACCACGGGACACGGAGAGGGAGGTGATGTCCCTTCATGAGAATATTTACAAAACCAGCGAGAAGCAGGCCTGCCCCTCTCGTCCAGTGACGAGATGTCCACGCCAGTGGAGACTCGGCGACGTGTTACCCGCAGGACTTTGACCCACTGTGGTCGGACGTGCGGGGTGCCAGGCCCCGTCAGAGAGGGGGCGCGAAGTCATGCGAACAGGACGTGCTCTCAGGGAGGCGAGGAGCCCAAGGGGTCGTGACGGCTGGGAATCGGCCCTTTCCTGGTGGGGAGCAAAATGGGGCAGAAAATCAGGGGACACACACGTCACCCTCTTCGAGTCCTTTGTCCCTCGGCTCCTGTGCACGGGCGGGGGGAGCTCACGTGGTGAACTTACGTCTCCAGGGACTCTGCGCATTTTCTTTCCTGTTTTTTTCTTTTTAAATTCTCACCCGAGGACACTTTTCCATTTATCTTCAGATAGAGAGAGAGAGAGAGAGAGAGAGAGAGAGAGAGAGAGAGAAACATCGATGTGAGAGGGACACATGGACCAGCTGCCTCCCGCACGACCCGGCCAGGGCTGGGGACAAACTGCAACTAGGCACATGCCCTTGACCAGAATCGAACCCGAGACTCTTTGGTCCTTGAGCCAACGCTCTAACCGCTGAGCCACGCCGGCCAGGGCAAGAAAGAGGAGACCTTTCAGACATCCCTGGCTCGTCCTAATTGGGCAGGGAAAATGTGGGTTCTGGGGTGACATTTCTCCCCCACACGCTATCTTCCAGCAGCTCGGAGATGGTTGTGGGACGGGGGTCAGCGCCCTTTGCTGACCACGCCAGGTGGTTGAGGGGCACTGGGGAGACCGAGGAGGTGGGCCCCCCCCATGCGGACCCCTGGATTCCGATCAGTTACATGTAGGAAGAAAACACTGCCGCGACCCGTATGAGAATGTCGAGGCGCAGCTGCCTGACCCGTAGCCTCTGCTTCAGTCGGGGCCAGGCCTGACCCCGTGGTCCAAGGGGAGGGGACGCGGACAAGGAGATGTCCGAAAGCAGACCCAGCCCGTCAGACCCGGGCGTTAGAAGGAGAACAAGTCGCTCCCGCGTGCGGAGGGTGGGTGCTCGGGGCGTCGCCCACGCCGTTCTGCCATGTGGGGAGCCCCTGCTAACGGCGCCCCCGTTCTGCCCGACCCCCGCCAGGCCTTCGCCGGAGGAGGCGCTGCGGTGGCGCGAATCCCTGGACAAGCTCCTGCAGAACAACTGTGAGTCCGAACGGCCCTCTGGGGCGGCGGGGGCGGGGGTCACGACACCGGCACGGGCCCATGTCCCCCTGACTTCGACACTTCTTAAACTTTCCAAGGTGACCCCAGCCAGGGACCAGTGGTGGGCGTGGTAGAGAATCCGGAAGGGAGTGTCCTGGGGCCGCTCACAGGTCCCGTCCACCCTCCTGTTGGCCTGTGCACCTGAGTCCCAACCGCGTGCCCCCCGGTGTCCTCATCCGAGACGGAGATTCTGCCTTTTCTTTTTTTAATTTTTTTTCCCCTTTACTGATTGTTACAGAGAGGATGGGAGAGGGGGAGAGAGAGAAACATCGATGAGAGAACATCGACTGGCCGCCTCCTGCACGCCCCCCACTGGGGATCGGGCCCACAACCTGGGCGTGTGTCCCAACTGGGAATCGAACCGGCGACCTCTTGGTGCAGGGTCAGCGCTCAGCCACAGAGCCACGCCGGCCGGACGGATTCTGCCTCTCCGAGCAGAGTCTCGTGATGGGTTAGCAAGGACCGAAGCAGCAGGGCGACCGGGGCCTGGGCGGGCAGCATGGCCTCCTCCAGCTGCGGGGAACTGCTTCTGTGACTGGCCGGGGCCCCGGTCCCCAGCCCGGGCCCCTCCTCTGGCAGCTCCCCTCCATGCGTCACCCAGGGCGCGACAGCAGCCTTTCGGTGCAGGTGTGAGCGTGAGACCGGAGGCCCCGCAGTGACACTTTCTACTTCCCAGAGGGGAATAAACACGCGTGTGTGTCTGTTCTGTGGCGGGGCTGCTGCCCTGCCTGCGTGGACGTCAGAACGGACCCCTCATGAGGGCAGCTCTGGGGTGCGGGGGTCACAGCCCAGTGTGCACGGGGATGGAGGGCGAGGTGGGCGCGAGGCGCCTGGGCAGTGAGGCCAGCGGGACGAGCCCGGGACGTCGGGATATGTGCGGAGGCCCCACCGCTGTGGGTGGGCAGGGGTCTGGGCTGGGGAAGGAACACAGGTGTGTTCCCTGCAGAGCAGAGCACGCGGCCTGGAGACTGTGCCTCAGACCCTCGAGGGTCCCCAGGAGGAGCAGGAAGTGCCTCTGGGCAGTGGGCCTGTGGAAAACCTGAGGTTAAGGAGGAAAAGGATCGGGGAGGGGCATCGGGGGGTCCTCCCGAGGGACCCTCCCGAGAGCCCGCAGCAGCCACATGAGCAAGAACAGCTTTGAGCAGCTCCCAGACCGGCCGAGAGAGCCATTCGATGAGCTGGTGACGTCGGGGCCAGGGGACAGACGCCCCGCCCTGGACAGTCACGTCCAGGCTGGTTCCTGTGTCAGCATCGTCGGGGGTCCCGGCTCGGCCCTCGGGGCCTCAGTAGTGCTGGGGGGATGGCCCTTCTCTGTCCCTCCGACAGGCAGAATGACGCAGAGGGCCTGTCAGGCCGGGGACAGTGGCCACGGATGGCCACGGATGGCCACGGCGCGTCGGGGTGGCGGTTTCCTGGGGTCTCAGAGCCCACTGCGCGAGAACGCGTCGGGCTTCGCTCCGGCCTCCTGGCCGCTAGGACGTGCCTGGGCAGTTTCCCACTCGCGAGACCACCTGGCGCGTTTGTTCAGGAAACGGAGCCTGGCTGGTGCGGCTCCACTGCTGGGGTGTCATCCCGTGCCCCCAAAAGGTCGCCAGTTCAATTCTGATTGGGGTACACGCCAGTTGCTGCTCGATCCCCAGTGGGGGGCGTGCAGGAGGCAGCCCATCGATGTTTCCCTCTCTCCCTCCCTCTCTCTCTCAAACTCATTTTAAAAACTCTTTAGGAAAAGAAAGAAACAGTGAGAACTTGGCCGTTCCCTCTGCCCGAGTGGCGCTGAGGACACACCGCTGGGCTGCAGCGGGCTCCCGGGGCGTCGGGGCGGCACAGAGCCGTCCGCCCAGGCTCATGCGCTGTTAAAGCCCTTTGCCAGCTGAGTTCTTAGAGAAGGTTGTTCATCATACCAACCGCTGCCCCAGTGTATTTTCAGGGGTTCGCTCAGAACAGTGTTTAGGGTTTGCCCAGGGAGGGGGACTCGAAACACAAAGTGTCTCGTGTAAAGTCCCTGGTGACCCTGAGCCCCCCCCTTGGAGGTGAGCGTGGCCGCAGGGGCGTGGAGGACACGGAGCCCATGAAACATACAGACAGCAAACCGGCAGGAGGCCCCGTGGCCTGGCTCACGTGGACCCTGTGTCGCATGGGCTCAGAGCCTGTGGTGTGACGTCCGGCAGGAGACCCCGTGGCCTGGCTCACGTGGACCCTGTGTCGCATGGGCTCAGAGCCTGTGTGTGACGTCCGAGCACCATGCGGGACACGTGGACTCTGGAGTCTGCGAAAAGGGGCAGGAGACAAGATGCAATTAGGTCAAAGCCAGTGAATTCTGTAGGAATGTGTCCCCGAGCAGTACCCACAGCTCACATAGGTGTCCACTGTGTGAGGGGACCAGCAAGAGGAGCCGGGCCTGGTGCCCGGTGCCAGTCAGAGCTGCCTCTGCCCGGGGAGGAGACGGGCTCTGGCACAACAGAGTTGGCCTGCGGAGGACAGACAGGCTGGGCAAGTCGCCCTCCGACCGGCTCCCTTCAGAGACCCTCTCTCCTCGGACAGTCGGCGCACGTACACGCGCTCGCCGCAGACCTGTCCGCACCCGTTTCCGACGTGTGTACACAGATCCGCACTCGGCTTTGAAAAGGACGCGACGAGGTTGCCGAGCGGGTTTCTCTTCCTCCTCGCCGACGCCTCCCCCATCCCGCCAGCGGGGTCGCAGGCGGACAGGCGGAAGGAACAAATGGGAAAACGAGGGAGTCGCTGGCCCAGGGTCCCCCGTGTCTGTCTGCAGGTGGACACCCACATGTATTTTTTAAAACATGTTCTTTATTGATTGTTTAGAGAGAGGAAGGGAGAAGGAAAGTGTTTTTAGTCGTAAGTGACGTCTACTCGGGCAGGGGGCTTCCTGGGGCCCTCCCCAGCCCACCCACCTTCAGGTCTGCACCCCACGGCCCCTCCTGTGACTGTCGCTGTCTTTCCCGTCACTGTGCGTGTTTCTTTCTGTCTCCATGTTCTCCCTGCTTTCCCCCCGAGTCCCGCGGCCCCGTGGGGCAGAGCCCGGTCCGTCTGCCTTTCCGAGCGACCCGTCCCAGTGGGAAGGACAGAGGCTGGGAGGCACATTCATGTCCCTGAGCCCCGCAAGCCGGGTCTCCACGCACCGTTTTCTCACGGGAATCCAGACTCGTGCGTGTCCTCGTGGCTCCGCGTCACCCGAGGGCGGACGTCTGGCTGCCCACCCAGCTCTGCCCCTGCCCCTCTGGTGAACCCGGGCAGTCGCTGGGCCTCTCTGGCCTCACCTGTGACATCGGGTGTGAATACACCTGCCTCTCGGGTCCATCCCGGGAAGTGAAGCGCCCGTGTGAGGCTCGTGCGGAGTGACACGTGCACGCGAGCAAGCCGGGCTGGCGGCAGGCCGGAGAGGGAGGCTGGATGGAGGCTGGTAGCCGGGCGATGGGCGAACTCCCTGACCCCCAGCGACCCTCCTTGCAGACGGACTCGCCAGCTTCAAGAGCTTCCTGAAGTCGGAGTTCAGCGAGGAGAACCTGGAGTTCTGGATGGCCTGCGAGGACTTCAAGCGGACCAAGTCCCCCGCCAAGATGGCAGAGAAGGCGAAGAAGATCTACGAGGAGTTCATCCAGGCCGAGGCGCCTAAGGAGGTGGGTCCCGGGGTCGGGGGAGAGCGGGGTCCGAGGGGCCGGCAGCAGCTCCCTGGAAGGCCAGGTCTGCCGCGGAGGTGACCCGCCTGGGGAGTGGGTCAAAGGGGCGCAGCGCAGGAGGCCGAGCAGGCTGACACGAGCCCGGGGTCCTCGGCGAGCAGTGGCCGCACGTCAGCCGCAGGCGGGAACGGCCGTGGAGACTCCGCGGGTCTCCGAACGCGGCGTCTTCCTTTGTGAGATGGGGTCATGAAGACGGTGTGAGGGGATTGAACCAGGGGCCTGAAAACACATCTCGGGGTCTCAGCTCATCGGTGCTAACGGTGTCCCTGCCCCTGGTGGTCTCTCTCCCCTCCCCTCCCTTCCTCCCCTCGTCCCTTGTCCCCCCGGCCTCGTCCACTGACCTCGAGTTGGGACAGCAGGCTGCTCGTGAGAACCGGATAACACGGAGCTGACACGCGGGGAGACGGGACAAGCTTCGGGTAGTTGTCTGCTCTTGGCCGTTGGGGAAGCTGAACTGTGAGCCCTCCTGTGGGTTCAGCGACGTTTCGGTCGGCTGTCTAATTCCGCATCCACCCGGGATCCAGTCTGGGCCTCCAGCAGTTCACGGGGTCTGGACGCAGCCCAGAAGCTGTCTGAGCAGACCCTGCAGGCGGCAGCCCTCCACCTGGGGCGATGTGAGAGGGGTCCCCCTAGGACCCCTTTTCTCTATAGGTTCTCTAGACTCTTTGGTTATGAATTCATCATCACTAATCCTTCCTATCTGTTTATTTTTTTTACCTTATTGATTTTAGAGAGGGAGGAAGGGAGAGGGAGAGAGACAGAAACATCGATGAGAGAGAACATCAATTGGCTGCCTCCTGCACGCCCCCCACTGGGGATCGGGCCCACACCCTGGGCATGTGCCCTGACCGGGAGTCGAACTAGCGACCTCTAGGTGCAGGGTTGACACTCAGCCACAGGCCGGGCATCACTAACCCTTTTTTTTTTTTTATCCTCATCCGAGGACATTTTTTCCATTTTTTTGCTCAGATAGAGCGGGAGGGAGAGAGAAACATTGATGTGAAAGGGACACATCGAGTGGCTGCCTCCCGCACAACCAGCCAGGGCCGAGGACAAACCGCAACCGAGGTACATGCCCTTAGCGGGAACCGAACCCGGGTCTCTCAGGACCCAGGCCGACGCTCTAACCACTGAGCCAAACCAGCCAGGGCGACCTTCTTAAAAGCTCTATGTGTTTGAGTGGATGGACAAACTATACACCCGATACCAACAGGGGAGCTCCACCCACCACAGGTGGGGAAGACGAGTCCTGAGGAGAACTGGGTTCTGTTCTGCTGTGGAATCTAATTTGGGGTCCTCTCCAGATCTCTTCTGCTCCTCAGCCCCCCACGCACGTGCGTGGTTAGCTCTCCCCCTTTCCAAGGCCACGGGCCTGGCCGTCCTTTCTTGGCCTGCGACAGCCTCTCTTCCCTACGTCACTGAGGACAGGAGTCCCGCGCCCAGTCTGACCCGCACTCCTGACTTCCCCGGAGTCCCCAGTGCTGACCCACCTCCTACCCACTGCGCCCCTCTGCGCGGGAGTCTAGGGTTCGCTGCAGCGTCTGCGGACGGCGGCCACCCATCCTGGCCACGGCTGGTGGCTCTGCGTTCCAGGCAAACACGTTCTCAAGTTCCTCATTCAGCAGCGGTGTTCTCGTGAACCTGGCAGACCTCAGAGAGCAGGTCAAAGCAGGGGAGACCCTGGCCGAGCTGCCGGCTCAGACAGACGGCAGCCCCGCTCCCGGGACCCGTGGGCTCGCACTGCTCCGTCCACACTGGGACGCGCGCACCTGGATCCAGTGCACTCGTTAGCTCTGTGACCTTGCAGAGGCCCCTTCACCTTGACACATGCTCGTACATATTTCCCTTCCCCCCATAAGGAAAGGCCGAGTTTGGGGGCCGAGAGGGTTTAGTGCCCGGCGGGGGGAGGGTCTGACGCCCGGCGCGTTCCCGACACTGGCCGCACCTCACTCTGAGCCGCGCACGTCTCGGAGCATCGGTGGCCTCCCCACGACCAGGAAGTGGAGACCCCAGTCCTCACGCCTGTGAGACGTCTCCCTTCTCTTCCCGCCCGCAGGTGAACATCGACCACTTCACGAAGGACCTCACGGCGAAGAGGCTGGTGGAGCCCTCCCCCAGCACCTTCGACGTGGCCCAGAAGCGGGTCCACGCCCTGATGGAGAAGGACTCGCTGCCCCGCTTCCTGCGCTCCGAGTTTTACCAGGAGTTAGTGCAGTAGCCGCGCGGCCCCTGTGAGTCCCTCCTGCGCCCCGCGCCCCGCAGGCTGCTGCCCCCGTCACCGCTTTGCTCCGAGACACCCCGGGAGCCCGGGTGCTCGCTCACGGGCCCACGTGCTGTGGACGGTTACTGTCCGAACGGCTTCTCCCCGCCCCAATTCTTCACGAACCCCACCTTGTATGATGTCCGACCCAGCCCGAGCCCAGGAACAGGAGGTGCAGACAGGTGTGTGCCCGCCTCGGACCTTGGCTTTATGGAGCCACCATGCGGTCTGACCGAGCCGGGTGGAGCCCGATTTCAAGTGCAGTCAGTTTGTCTGTGGTTTGAATCCTGGCCCAGGGCCTCACCCCAGTGATCATTCCCTGGGTTAGTGAAAGGCGGTAAGAATTCTAGGAGGCAGCCACTCCGATTTTTCAAGCAAATTATTTAAAATACTGATCTTCCCCCCAGAGGAGGCTCCTGGAGCTGGAGGGCATAAACGAGAGGTAGAAGCAGGGCTGTGTTGTGTCCGTACATCATCTGATTCTCCCTCGGATGTCCAGGGGCGTCACCGAATTCTGTGTGAAATCGGTGACCCGAGACCAGTGGCTGCCTCCAGGCCCCGGCCCCAAGCTTCCGTCTTCACGGCATTTTAAATGGTGCACGTGCAGGACCCTAAAACCGTTAACCCTGGCACGTAAAATAACAGGGGTGGCTGTTTCTCACCTCGAAATCTAGAGGGCCGGAACTGAACCAGCCTGAGAGGATTAACGATCTGGGCTGTTGTCCGTTCAGTACGTGACGACTGTCCCCGAAGCACGGAGTTGCCTTTGGGAGAGCTGACTTGTTGACATGTAGGAGATTTCTGAGTGAGGGCTTCCAAGTCCCCGCGTTTTGCAAAATCATGTAATCATGCTACACCCCCCGTACCCCCGCCGCCTGCTCCCCGGTAGTAAGCCGTCACCAGAGAGCTCCCTGAGCCCCGACCTGCCCCCACAGCCATGCGTTCTTAGTACTTGACACTTTTGATTCTGTATTTCACTAGTATAAGCCTTGCTGGGAGGGTCTCCCCTTTAGTAGATTTAAGTAGGTTTGATTAGGTGAAGTCATTATTTCCACGAGTTAGTAGTAAGGAGAATCCCAGCAGCCTGTCACCGGTGACCGAGAGGCGCCGCGTGAACCCAGAGACAGCGTGTTGGAAGGTCAATAAAGTCCTGAAACTTCAGCGGAAGGTCACGGAGTGCGGTCCTGGTGCGGCTCCTGCTCCCAGTCACACCCTCCTGGCCCCTCGGTCTGTGCCCGGAGGCTCAGCGCTGCCCAGGGACAAGGGCCGGGAGGCAGCTCCGTCACTGTCCCACGGCAACCGCGAGGGTGTCGCTGGGCTTTTCCTATTTTTGTTCCTTCGGAGGCGACATGCGAGTCCTGAGCCTCTGTGTCCCCTTCGCTCGCCACACGCGGGCTGGGCTTCGGGGCCCCAGCCGTGGACAGCGAGGCCAGGTCACCGGGGGCGGGTGCAGCCGTGGCGAGCCGGGCGCGGGCACCGCCTCCCCAGCGCCCACACGGCCCTGAGCCGTGCGCCGTCACCTGACCTTCCTTCTGATGCAGCTGGAACCAAGAATCTAGGCCCGTGATTTTTCCTGGGATGCCCGAGCATTTTTGAGAAAATGTTTAACTTAATTAAAAATGCAGGTATTTTATAGACATTATTTGAAACGTATTTGAAAACGCCCAGAGAATTGACCAGATGTGACGAGCACATCCAGGGGGTCGTGTTACAGAGACTCCAGTCAGCTGCGCGCACAGGTGGGCCCCGCCCCGTCAGCAGGTCCCCCTGTCCACAAGCTGAACCCGGGGGCAGAGGCAAGAAAGTGGGGCAGCCGTGGAGGCCGAGGTGACGTGGGACACATACATGTGTATATGGTTTTAAATTTAAAGCAGTAGACACACACAGAGACACACACAGACACACACACAGAGACACAGACACACACAGACACACACAGACACACACACAGAGACACACACACAGACACACACACAGAGACACACACACACACACACAGAGACACACACACGAAACTCTTCAACATGTGAATACAATTAAAAGGAACACAAATGTCCCAGCCCCCAATAAAAAAGCAAACACATCAAAACTGCCCAGGACAGTTCTTTGAAATCTTTTAAAAGTGTTTTTAAACTTAAAGAAAGAGAAAAAAATTGTGTTACTGGAGGTCTCCATGGTAACACAAAGAAAATACATTCTTTAAATTCTGGGAACTTAGAAAAACTGGGATGATCTTTCCCGGAAAGAAACGTATAACGTCTGTTTTCTGTGGCCCCTCCCCACGCCCGAGGACACGGCCTGGGAAAGGAACGCAGCGCCCGGGACAGGGCAGCTTCAGCCCAGTGGACCTGGGATGTAGACAGGTGGTGAGTGGAGACAGGGGTGCCCGTGTCTCCCTCCTGGGGAGACCTAGGGTTGGGACAGGGACGTGACGGTCTTTCTGCCTGGGTGTGGCGGAGTGTGGGGCTGGGGTCAGATCAGGACCTGACGTGCACCAGGAGAGAGACCGACCGCGGACTCCAGAGTGAATTAGGACTCTGTTCCGTGTTGTCTACTAAAGCAGTGCTTGTTTGTTGCACACCCCCTACACACACACATTTGCATGCATGCACACACACGTATATCCCTACACATGCACACACACATACACACTCATGCACACCTGCACAGACATGCGCACACACATACACACTCATACACACCTGCACATGTGTGCATACACAGGTGTGCACACAATGCACATATGCATGTATGCACCCGCGTGTGCACACATGTGAACACTCTTACACGTGTGCATGCACATGTGCACACGTGCATGCACACACACACACACTCATATGCCCTCACAGGTTCTTTCTCCCATGCAGACACTTTCTGAACTGAACTCGCTGGGGCAGTTCGATGACCACCTTCAAACTCTAGACGGAACGTCTGGACCAGCCTCTGCCCTGCCCCGCACACCCCGTGCGCTCAGCTCTACAGGGTAGTTAAGCTCTAAGTAGGTTTCAGGTTTTAGTGCATAAAGAGAGAACTCGGTGAAGGAAATAGCTTTTGTTTTTATCCTCTACAAAGCCTCCCGTCTGGCTTGGCCTGTGTGTGCTCTGTGCACCCGCCTTTCGGTGGGACGGAGCAATGGTTTCCCGAGAACCACACGGCCCGGAGTTCCCATGGAGACTTGACCGTCAGCTGGTCAGTCCATACACCAAAAAGCATCCCAGGCTGGGCTGTGTCACGCTGCCGGTCCCAGCACAAATCTGATCATTTGAGAATCACTCAAAAGCCTAATTATTTTGCAGGGAAATAATTTCAACCCCTGAATCATCCCCTCGGGGGGGCCATTGCCCCATTTCCTGGGAACTGGTCTGGGAGAGGGAGGGTCAGGAGAGTCAGGAGAGGAGGAGGGAGCAGGGGGTATCTGGGCGGACGGAGGCGGGACTTTCTCCAGGAGGCGTGTGGGAGCCGCTTGGGGTGGTTGGCAGCAACCTGCTCCCGTGATGGTCAGGTCGGCAGGAAGGCGTTTCTTGTCTCAGCACAGCCAGATGAAAAGCTTCATGTGAAATCTGGGGAGTCTCAATTAGAGGGTCCTCAACACCCAAGTGTCCAAACCCAAGGCCCAGGCCACCCCGTGGGTCCTGGACGCGAGGCCCGACGCGCCTCCGGAGATCCTGCCTCGGCCGTCATTAGCCCACCTCTCTGGGCGTGGGGTCTCCGGCCTGTCTCGCGGGTGTGTGGGGTGTGTGCCTGTGGCAAGGCTGCCGGTGAGCAGTTTGGTAGCTGCTGCTGCTGGGGTTACACGTACGTTCACACAGGCAGGTCCTGTGGCGAGCAGAGCGGCAGCCCCCCTGGGAGAGGCGGACAGAGCAGCCCTTCTGGCTGAGGACACAGCCATGGCCCTGAATGGACACCAGGCAGAGAGAAGGCGAAACACCTCACACTCTGTAACAGGGCCCTCACCTCACAGTTTAATCATATTTCACTTTCCTAGTGGAGAAGCTACAAGTCAAACGCAACATTGTTACCAGCTTAAGGCACCCTGTGCACCTCCTCTCTCCTAGAGGACCCCGCCCCCGTCCCCTCCTCTCCCCGAGACAGCCACACCGCTGGGCTGAGCACAGTTACGGGGTGGCAGATACATTGAACCTCCTCTCCAGGGCCAGCTGAGGGGTCGGTTTCTGGACAGAAGTCATCAGATCATTTCTTAAGCCCCAGTATCAGGATTCGGGGGAACTAAGTTGTTTCAAATGCTGCGGCTCTGGGGTTCTCCCCGGGGGACCCCGCGCAGAACGGCGGTAATGACAGGCGTGGAAGCCCTGGTGTGGCAGCGTTTGTCCCGCTGGGAAGGATGTGCCCGCCTCCTGATTGTGTCTCTGCCGTGTTGTGCACCTGTGACTCCTGCTTCTCAGCAGATAAAGCACCATGTGTCTCTGTAACCACATCACGTATCAAATTAAATATGTATCCGTGTCACCGCCTCCTGCGAGTCCTTCTTGACTCCCGAACATTCTTTATGGGAAACTCTGCCTCGAGGGCGCGTCGGTCGGTTCCCACGTGCCGACGCTGGGCGAGCCCTGGACCGACGGGGAGGATCCCCACACTCACACCGTCACCGGTCTCTGACCCAACACGAACGCGGACAGGGTGCCGCCGCCTGTTTCCTCTGCACCGCTGACCGCTGCCCCTTGCATGCGGGGGGCCCAGCTGTGCCCTGTTGGGACAGGCTGAGCACCCGCTGCCACGGGGCTCCTCCCCGGCCACGGAGCCCAGCCCCCCTCGCCGGAGGCCTGGAGCCCCAGCTCCTGCCAGCTGTTCAGAGGCCTGGGGTTTGGAGCCTGATGGACCAGGTGCTGGTGAAGCCACACAGGTCAAGGGGAGGAGCCCTGTGGAGACAGATGGGGGCGGGGCTGGTCTCTGACCGTTCCCATCCCCCGTTGCCACAAGGCAGGGTCCCTGACCATTTGGGGGCTGCTGCTCCTCTTTACTCTCCGCATCCTGGGTGCGTGTCTGAGGGCTTCCGTCAAGAAGCCCCAATTCCATCTCACCCACAGAGAGGATGGAGGTCACCAGGCCAGTCAGCGGCAGGGTTTAGCGGTCAGACTGACACCGCTCACACTGCTTGGTCCGCTAGACCAGGGACCCCTTGTGGCCCATCAACATGGGGCTTATTGGCTCGGATTTGAGTCAAACAGGCTCCATGCAGCCCCACCAGGCGTCAGGGACAGGAGCTGGGCTCGCCAAGTCCCGGTCTCTGGAGCACACACTCCCAAGCACACTCTGCGGAGCACACACAGCCGAGCACACTCTCCCGAGCACACACTGCGGAGCACACACTCCCGAGCACACTCTCCCGAGCACACACTGCGGAGCACACACTCCCAAGCACACACTGCGGAGCACACACTCCCGAGCACACTCTGTGGTGCACACACAGCCGAGCACACTCTCCCCAGCACACTCTCCTGTCACACATTCTAAATCAGCAGTAT